AAATGATTTGTAACTTGTTCTTGTTTTTGTACTACCGCTACCACCTTGTATAAATTCGCCTTGGATTGACCCAATGGATGTTATTTGCCAATATTATTATGCGTTAGAGCCTCATTCGAAGAAACCAGGGTTGAGTTGTGCAGTGGTAAATCTCAAATCACCACCTGTCGAAAAACCTTAAAAGCCAGTTTCATGAAAGCAATTTAATGAAAATTTATTTGTTTAATTGAATTTAATATAGAACCTGACAGAAAAACATAATTTTTCACTTAAATTACTTTCGCGAAACTGGCTTTAGGGGTATTTCATATCGGTTTATGTATGTATATTATATTTCTGTTGAACAAGGATACACATTGATATTGAAATTGCCACTAACTATAAGATAAAGTTTCTAGGGCACATTCACTATAGATCCGGCTCATTGTGGCCACCAGGGAACTTCTCATGGACATAACACTTTCGTTCGGTTATTTAAGGCGGCAAACGACCACCAAACGATAGTCTGGGCCGATGAATGTGCAGTACAAATCGTAAATGTGGATTGTTGGAGAAACTGTTGTACCAAAATGTTTAAATTAAAAATCTAATTTTGGGCGGGACGAAGTTCGCCGGGTCTGCTAGTATGTTTATGTATGTATTATGTTTACTATTATAGGTAATAGATTTTCTAAACATTGAACCTTCCGTGTTTTATACAGTCAAACTTTTTTCGGTCTTTTAATTTTATGGAATTTTTTGGGGAAACATTTTTAAAAGTGTAAGGAAAAGTGGGGATTTTATTTTTGTTGAGTGGCGATTTTCCAAAAAAGTATGTAAAACGCCAGTGTCATTGCAGTCATGATAAAAACATTAGAAGGTGGAATCATTCTCTCAATTCGTCGGCCATGATTTTTTTCTGACGTTTGCAAACATTTTAAAATCATATAAAATTTAAAATAAAAAAATGAAATTGTTTACAATTGTTGTTTGAGATTAAAAGTGAGAATGTGTGTGTGAGCTCGAGTTCGAATTTTAAAATTATAGTTGCGATCCCGTACGAGTCCGGACTAGTCAGAAATAGTCAGAATCTGTCAGATTTTACCGGAAATCGATCCCGTACTCGGTTCTCTGACTATTGAGAGGACAAAAAAAGAGAGTAAATACGGTTCTCTCTCTGTCAGAAGTTACCAGTTTTAGTCCGAGAATTTTTTGCT